TATAATTTATTATATAAAACATTAGTATATAATGCATTTTTACGTAATTGTATGTAATACGACATGATAAAATAATATATATTATTTAAATAAATTTAAATAAATATGTAGGCCTATATATTTTATAAATTGCACACAATTGTATAGAATATTTTTATTTATTATAAATTATAATATGTTTTTCTTTAATTATAAGTAAATTACTTTTAAAACCCTGTTTACAAAGTTTTGCCAGAACCAAAAAAAAAAGTAATGTAATGTAAGTTTATGAGGTTTTTCAAATGTTTTTTTGTCCAACAGGCATAAAACACAAGTAATATTGTTAAGAAAAGAATTATGACACCTCTCCTTAAAAAGCCACATTTATGTCTGTAAAACAAATGGTGCAGGACAACTTAAAAATATCCTCAATATGTAGCTAAACTGCCCTGTATCCTTTTGCATCATAAATATCAAACTGAAACCTCAGAGGTGATGCAGGGTCTAGCAGTGTTTTTTATCGCCATGACTGAAAATAAAATCTACTGATATGTGAACAAAAGCTCTTTCCATTTTATCAGGGAAATCTTATTTTGGAGGGCACATCAGGAGGGACATTTCCCTTAATGTCCTCGCCTCGCGACAGCTGTGGTCTGATATATTCCCATATAAAGCGATAAGACACGGACGATTCCTCTGTAAACCCTAGAGCTTGTCTGATAACGGCTTCACTGATGAACAGGCCTCTGTTAAACCGGTCTGGACTGTTTGCCACTTAACTCAAGAACATCAGCATAACCCATTAGTTTCTCATTTCAAAGGCTCCTATTTGTGTTGACAAGCATCTTGTGCGCAGGCTGTAATTTCCTGCAAAATGACTGCCTGCATTTTACATCGTTTCAAATAATGACAGCTGCATGATGCATGAAAAGGGGAGAGTTAATACACAGAGCCTTTCAAATGTCAAGCAGTCAGCTGTTCACGTAAACACAATGCCTGAGTCGCAGCATAAAAGCCTTTATGAAGGCGTCTAATGCAAATCCCATAGATATTAAACCCTGTTCATTTTTAAGAGCATCCAGGGGGCTGCATTTACAACACTTACACCTCCTACTTACATACTGTATTTACTTCTTATGGATCGTTTATGGATAAAGTGCAGTTCGATCTATATTTCTTCCTTTTGCTGTGACTTTTTGACTAGCCTAACTACTGTGTGACAGCATTTACAATTGATAAATCCTAACCTCACAGCAGAATACTGCTTCGATAGGGACTTTCTTTTTAATAGACCCCGTTCATATGTTACTTCAATTACAGCGGAGCTGCAGAGTGGCTGTTAACTGCAGTGTGCACACTGACCTCGCTTAAGAGCACTTCATTAATGAAAGCTGATAATGGACACAGACCAATCTACGATCTGAGCTCTTTAAATAAAGAAGCCCTCTGAAGGGGCTCTGGAAACAGAAGTATTGTTTTAAGATTTAATTTCAAACAGAGTTCACAGTTCATTGACACTTTTGCAAGCCTGTTGTCATTTCTCAGTATACGCATGCATATAATAATAAATGTGTTCACAAAACAGGTGGTACTACAGTGTTAGTTAGCAGAGTCAGATGTGCAAATGACGGAAAGCACATTAGAAATAGCTATGACATGCATTTTTTATTGCATTTTGTACATATATTTACAGTCATGCTGAAAAAATAAAAAAAAACGTGTTACTATCATGCCAAATAGCTGGTTAATTCATCTAGGCAGAAAATGAAATGATAAAAAGAAGAGGAAAATAAAGATTTATATCAGTATGCAACAACTGAATCATAACAAATCGTATACATTTTAAATATAAAGAATACACAGGATTGAGATCACACACAATTACACATATGCATGGTTGCACACTTCAAGTAAAAACAATAAATATCATGGTTATTAGTGGTTCTTAGTATAATTAAGAATTACTTGTATTTAAGCAGTACAACACGAGTGAGAATGCTGTTTTCTAAATATATGATATTCAGCGAAAATAGCAGGATTGCTAGTGTTATATTGATTTTTATAGAAAGACAGTTAAATAAACAAGAAATTAATATTAGGTAATGTTAATTTTAGACTCAAACTAGCCAGTTATTTTGTCTGTATTTGCTCCTCCAAACAAATCTAAACGGAATCAATCATATCTGACCACCGACAATAACTATAGTTTCTGAATGAATCAGCGTTTTTGAACGAATCGGTTAAGTGAACCAGTCAATGACTCTCAATCATTCCTAAGTGAATCAGCATTTTTGAACGAGCCAATGATTCACTTTTGCTCCTGAATGAAATTAAATCATTCAATTGATTCACTCATAAAGACTTGTCACTTGTCGCCACATACTGGTGTAACAAGAATATCGCAAATACATGAGTTCCGTAGACTCTTATAAATCTTTCTAATGAATCTTTGTAAAATAAATGCAAACGTTTGGCTTAATACAAAATAAACTAAAAATGTTTAGTATGTACTATGAATGACACTATGAATCTGATATAAAAAAGACTCAAATGAGGACCTTTTGTGGGGGAGGGGTTGACTGATAATGGAGGAAACAACTCTGATTATTGAGTGATGATTTAGCTTATATGGCCAGCTAACATCGGATCGATCGAATAATAAAGACTGTGAGATTAAATGAGGGGCATCACACAGCCACAGGCAGAAAAAAAGATAACGTGAGAGACTAAAAATCAATGGAAAGAAATTTATGCTCAGCTGTATTTTTTAAAAGCGTGTTAAAAACTCAGGACGGCAGAAAGAGCACTTATCACACAATGAATGACCTGCAGATATAAGCCCGGTTTAATGGGGTGTCTGGGAAAGCCATTAAAAGTGCCCAGCCATCATTAATGGAGATCTCATATCGTGTCAAATGGGCTTGTTCAGGCATCAATTCACACATTGTAACTGTTAAAGCTAAATTCAATCAAAATCCCAATAACCCTCTTTTAGTGGTACTTAATCAAAACACGATAAGAATATGAACAGGAAATCATCAACAAATGTAGAAAAACTTTTAAAAATACAGTTTATTCCTTGATAGGGAAATATTGCATATTAGGAAAATATATTTTTGTTACTGTTGTTGCAGTTATGGAGTTATGAACAGGCCTACACAGCTCCTGCATTTCCAGAAAGCTCCACAAATTTCCACAGCATTGGAATGTGTGTTGTTTACAAAGTCGGACACAACCTTGTGTGTATGCTTATGAAATGTTTTGGATAATGTCTTAGTGCTTTCACTTACCAATACTTTCAGCACCATTCTACCATATTTCAACCCATTAAGCAGATTTCCCCTCAAAAATAAGCAGTGAAAATGTGGGAAAATCCCACAGATTTGGTGGATGTGGAGTGCTGATGGAAATGAAGTCTAAGCTGAAGCTGTTTCTCACTGTGAGGGATTGTCATGGCCTGAGTTTGTCGCCTGGCTATATTCTCATTTTTTTCTGTTCTTGGCTTATTATCGTGCAGTTTATAGTTCCATATGAATGCACTCTTGGTTTTAGGCCTGGTACTAAAACACGATTAAGCAGCCAGTTAGTTAGAAGTTGGAACTAAAAGCTGTGTGACTTTTTTTTTGGAAGTTTTTATGGTGGTGAGATAATGAGCACAACTGCTCTGAGCAAATCCTATTTGAGGATCCCATGTCAGATCAGAAATCTCACATTATTAGTCTCTATATACTTTGGGTTACTTGTATAATGCATGAGGAGAAGGGGTGAACATTTTAGATGACATTTTAGAGATGATGCATATAGACACAAGCACACCAGTTTAAATGCAGCCTTTGCAAACTCTAGACATCTCAGGCCCCTTTTCTCCATCTTTGCTGGACATACATCTTTTCACTTGTGAAGGTCAATTCATTTCACAAGTAATTGCACTTCAAGGTTCTTAATTTTAATGAGATAGTTAATCATTTAATTCCCAACCATATCAATAAACCCTGTCAAAATTATTCTTTATTAACCTCATAATTGTCAAACCTCATTAGAGCAAATGGGCAGTTATAGTGTATAGCTGAGCCCAGGTAATGAAGGGTGGATCCAATCGCTGTTCAGGGCCTTTAATTCCTGTTTCTCACGCTGTGAATTATCCGTCCTCTGTGGAAAGCATTCTGATGCTGTAGACCATCATAAAGACCCTGGAGCTGGAAATTACCTGTTTAAATCACAAAACATTAATCACCTTTCCTCATTAAGCCCAAATCAATCAGGTCTAAATAGCTGTCCATCATTATGTACAAAAGTTAATACAATCTGCAATCAATGCTTTAAGTTTCCAGAGAATAGAATGTTAAATGAATGAATATAAAAACAATGTTCTATCTTAAAAATATTACAATAAAAGGAGATAATTTTCTGCTTATTTTAAATTTGGGGTTGACTGTAGCCCTGTAGTGCCAGACCTAAAATCAAGGTGACTGCATTTATAAGATTCATTCTTCATTCTGCCTTCTTGCTCAAGTCCCAAAACGCATAAGACTCTTAATAGATTTCATGTTCACCTGCGCATGTCAGCGGAAGTAAAAACCTGGTGAAGCAGCACGCGACTCTCACTCCGCTCCTGAATTTTTCAGTATTTAGATTACCTGCAGCAGCATTGTTGAAGATTTGTCGGAGCACCTCAGACAGGAGTGTAACGTAAAAACCAAGCAGGTGGGTTTTGAATTAAAGATGAGCCGTGGGGTTTAAGAAACGGATTCGACATGAATTTTTGATCTGAATCTGCCAGATGAGCAGACTCCACTTACCAGCTGCAGTTACACTGTTGGCCACTGGGTGGTACTGTTCACCCGTCAATATTTGTGTTAAGGGCAACAGCACTAAAAACGCCGTTTTGGTTGCGTTTGTATTTGGCCTATGCTTGTTTTTCCGACGTATTTTCACTCGGTATACAAAATAGCAGTAATCTATTCAATATAAACAAGCAAATAAATGTTAAAGAAATCCACCAAACTATTTTATATGGCTCGTAATAGGTCATATAGCCCTTATATACTGTATATAAACGGGTGTACTTTAGGCCTGGTTTCTGATGACATGCGTATAGTACCGTCTTCATATTTACCTACTACCTACCTACCTGGTTGTTTTTGTTTAATACGTTTTTTTTTTTCTAATTCACAGTTTGAAGAAACAATAATTGGAGGATACCTTACTGTTGCAGACCACCTGCTGAAGACCATTTCATACAGGTTGGTGACATCTGAATTTGTGCTGTAATGGATGTAACCATATTCAGGAATGAGCTATTAAAAACCATATTTTTCTGAATTTGATTCCTCTCAGTGTCTGTTGTAGCTTATTAGTTCACCCCAAAAAATAAAAGTCTGTAATTTAATTTGGACAAAACAATATTGTGGGTTAAGGGCTCATATTTAGGTCGGAAGCAACGGTTTGAAGTTAAAAAAACATCTTAAGGATGAATTTAAGCAAATAACTGCAAACACGCAGTCATTTGCTTTATAAGCTGTTAATGGATGGACTGGACTCATGTGGATTACTTGTGGAAAAGTGTCATGTTTTTATCAGCTGTTTGGACTCTCATTCTGACGGCACCCATTTACTGCAGAGGATCCATTGGTGAAGAAGTGATGTAATGCTACATTTCTCCTACACATCTGTTCTGATGATGAAATAACTCATCTACATCTAGGATGGCCTGAGGGTGAGTAAATTTCCAGCAAATTTAAATTTTTGCGTGAGGTATTCCTGTAATGTTCAAATACACCTACAACACAGGCTAAAACAACGTGTTGTAGTGGTTCGCCTTTACATATCAGGTTGGACTCACTGTAATGAACAATATGTTGTAGTTCACAGAAGTTATTTACATTTTTATTGTTTTATTCTTACATCCTCTGGTGCTATATTTTGTTTGTCTTCATTTATATCCTTCGCTACCTGCTGTAATTATGATAACATATGCACTTTCCACAACATAACATATACAGGTTGCTTTGGTAATCGACTGCCAAGAAAATAAATGCAAATGTAATTAGGCGGTGTGATTGGATTATACAGTATGGCACAAATATCTCTAACCATGAATAGAATTAGAACAGCACTTTATTGCCACTCTAGAGTGCAGTAGCTTTGGGTTTCGAGCTGAAAGCAGGGGTTCTGCCGGCCTGCTTGTCTTGGCACAGATGGAGTTTGTCTTGGATTGAGGAGTCGACCATCAGAAAATCAATGAACCGTACTGCGATCTAGAAGTAGTGTTAATTTCCATAATCACACACAGGCTTTTAATGGGGGATGCAGAAGGATTTTGTGGCCCTCACACTTTCTCTCTCTCACTCTCATTTCCTTGTGTACACACACATATTCACCCCGCATTTTTAATTCTCAATTTAAATGGGTCTCAGCAAACAGCATTCGATAATCCTGCCCAAATTCAATGCGAATCCCAGCAATCTGTGGACCCTCTTCAGTCACACCATGTGCTCTCTGTCTCCTCTCACTGTGTTTGGAGCACGTTTAATTCTATTTCAACTTGATTTACTAAGATTTATGTATTTAAAAACGTTAGCTCTTTAACTTTAATGAATTAATTAATGATACACATCTATACACATCTCCGACTCAAGTCTGATTCACAAGCACTCGATTCAATATCTGTATGCACAAAATATTCCATCCATACTTCCTGAAATATAATATACTCCACCCACAAGTAGTTATGTCATCTTCATGTTGAATTGGTAACTAGCTTAGCAAATTCAGGATATTTAAGGTATCACATTGATTCAAACTGCTTTTTTTCCTTTTTCTTGCTAAACTGTTTTTCCATCTATCACATTATGACGCCAGCCTCAGGTAAAAGAGGCTGTAGATTTATCAGCTTATTTTTTCGGAGTTGATTTTATGCTATGTTTCACAGATGTCACTATTGTTAAAATATACAACTTCAGTACTTACTCATCTTCCTTGTTGTGTTAACATGTAGTCTGATGCCATTTGTATGAAAGACTGTCCTTAATTAACTTTTTATTAATGTTTTTCGGATGTTTTGTTTTGGTTAACATTACTAAATGTAAGTATTTTTATTATTTACTGACATTGACTGTAACATTCGCCAACGTGCACTTGTGCATGTACTGTAATTTAATTGCATCTGGCTCAATTAATTTGGTGTGTCAGCAGTGTTTGAGGCAAAGTTTCAAAGCTTTAGGCTAAGTGTTTTCTGAATAAATGAACAAAAACCACAAGTGTTACAATCATCCCTGCTTCCTGCTACATAATCAATAATAATAAGCTTAGATAAATCAACTTCTGGTTCCTCACAGCAGGGACAGAGGCGATGAAATAGGCTGCTTCGGATTTCCACAGCTGTAAATTCTATATCACAGCAGGTTGTTTAAATTCCCATCCAGTATGGTCACATCTCCTCTTCTCATTCAGCATTCTCTGGGCTCTTTCTGAAACCCAGATGGACAGGCAGACAAATAAAGGTGTATTTGTCCGTAGGCTTCCTTTCTCTGCCTTCCTCCACCTCATTAAATACAGCTTATCGCTTCCCTTTATCTCTCCATCCTCCCTTTCCTCTGTTTGCTGCTCTCTGTCTGTCTCTGTGTCTCATGTTTCCTCTTTTTAACGTGCTATGTCAATGCTGTGTAAAGATGCTCTCTGTTGCTCTGAGGGGCTGTTTGTGTTTGAGTGTCTGTGTCTTCATCTTCTCTTGAACGTTCCTATTTCTTTCACCACACGGATAGTGGTGAAATGTTGGTCGTTTGTTTTTCCCAGTGATTTTCTCAGGAGAGAATTTCTAGTGAATCTTTATAAAGCAAGGCAGTCTTGGCATAGTTATAGCCCTGTCAGTGAAAACCTTCTGTTTGTTCCCTATGAAAACAATCTCCAAAGAGTGTATATAGACAAAATGGAATATCACATGATGTATACAGGGGCCTCAAAAAGCAGCTGGACAGTGAATTTTCATTGAAATAGGTAAATAGGTGAAATAGATGTTATGCTTGGAAGGTTGCTTGTGTCTTTCTTTAAATTAAATAAAGATTTATTTAATGCAATGAAATTCATACTCATCAGCTTGTCCAAATGCTTTTTGGGCCACTGTGTTAAAAAGTGAAGTACAATATATGTTCATAAATATAAAAAGCAGTTTAATTCGTAATTACTTCAAATGAAAAAAGCAGGATCCGCACTCGATTTTGATTTTTATTGTACAAAAAGCACAAATGGATCAGTAGGATCTGTAAACATTTCGGCACTAGTCTTCCTAGTTTTGAAAAAAAGAAAAATGTGAAAAACATTGATTACATTTATAATTGAGTGCAGATTCTGCTTTTTTTTTCATTTGAAGTCATTTCTGTTCCATGTCATTATGTTAGCTATATGGCATTTTGCTAAATATGACATATTTGTTTCCATTTATTACCAGTTAATTTCTACTTTTCCCTATTATCCAGAATACTTTTACATTTGTCATTTATTAGATTTTTTTATAGTGTCTGTCTGTCAATATTTTCGTGAATTTTATTGTTAGTGATATTTGATAATAACTGTGACCCCTTGGACTAACAGAAGTGATAGCCTTCAAATTGTCAAAATGTAGTAATGAATTTTAAGTTTATATTGTTTTAATTTGTAATTAAGCAATTCAAATTTTAAGTATGCGCAAAAGTCTGTAAAAATATGTCCAGATATACCTTATTAATATGAAGTAGTTTTCCATATTGATATTCACAGGTGTTTTACCCATGTTTTGAATTGCACTGTGCTATGTTTAAGGCTTAAAGGACATGTAGGTAAACTTAACAGACAATGTTCTGGTAGAAAATCACCAGTACGTTTTTCATTAGATGGAATTATATAAGTTATTGATGTATCTGTATTCACTTGATGTGAGCATCAATATCGGCCTTTGAAAACCAATATTAGTTGACTACTAATCATATGATTTGAAAGAAGGACCTTGTGTGGATCATTCTGATATAGCCATTATATTTTGTTCTTTGGTCGGTTAGATGAAAAGGAAGACAATTTAGTCATTTGAAACCAGAGTAGCCCCATCCAGTTTGCACTTAGTCGTTGTTGTATTTTGTATTTTGGACACCCATACATCACTCCTGTGTGTAAAGTCTCCTTTAACCCGTGTAATGACTGCTGTGATATTGAGCTTGTTTGAATGATGGCTGGTTAGAGCCATGCTTTGATGCTCGTGGAGTGCTGCGGCAGCATCAGATGACCTGACAGGTATCAGGTAATAATGGAGCTGTAGACAGGGGTAGGATTGGTCTCAAGTGCGCTTCTCTCTCTGTTTCTCATTGTTTCTGGCTGTGTGTTTCACCTCTCGGTTCTGTGATGAATTATATATAGGATTCAGTCTGGCTGTACATTGACTTTGGATCAAAGCTCAGGTTCATGTGTGTGTGTACATGATGATGGTCTGTACCTCACATTTTCTTTACAGTTATGCTTTTTAAATAATATTTCCAACATTATTTATTTACTCTGTTCCTAGTGGGCTGTCCAAAACAACACTGAACCCTACTGACTTTCACTGGTGTCATGTTCTAGTCTTTACTTTTAGTCAAAGCTGAAAAGTCATTTTTATTTATTTATTTATTTTTTGGCCAAATAAAAATGGACTGTTTTCCAATATTTGTGTTTCAGTATGGCAAGGTAAAAGTCAGTGAGGTCCAGAGTTTGTTTGGACCCCATTGACTTTTATTGTGCTGTTGAAACAAAAGTCATACAAGTTTGGAATGAGTAAATAATGACAATTGTAGTTGGATCATTTTAATTATGGTATGTCCTAAGATTACAATGAACGAATCCAAAATGGCGGAAACCGAAGTTTGGTAAATAAAAGTTTTTACAGAAGTTCTCTAAGTCTCGCTGTAATTACAGTTCTACAAACGGGAAGGTAAAAGCACTACACAGACAGCCCAGGTCACACTGTTTCCATGGCTGGACAACAGAGGATTGCATTTCACTCTTGGCCAAAGTAAATGTGTTGAAAGATTTAGAGCAGTCTCTATCCAAGAGAGCTCTTCACTAGTCCTAGGTTTCCCGTGTAAAACAGTCTGAGGAGTTCATCTCCGTGACAAATGTGAACTCTTGACTTGGTGCTGATTAGCCCTGTCAAAACATCTTTGTGTTTCATTTATGGCCCTCCCTTTGTCTCCTCTTTCCTTTTCCTTTCTAGTCGGTTTCAGTATTGACCTTCCTGTGTAACAAGTGAACCCTTCGTGCTGTTCTGCTCTTGTTTAAAGGCCTCCTGTCTGGGTTTAAATGTACAGGCTGCTCCTGTGTGTTGTCTGCTGCCAATCAATGTCCTTATGTCCGCTTCTCAGAAACTCATGCTGACATCTCAAGTGCCGGCCCACCTATAGATTCTTCTGTTCAGGTGAAGTGAGCCATTTTGCCTGGGTTTGAAAAATCAGATAAGCTTAAACCGAGGTTGAAAGGTTCGGTTTTCATGCTTGATTAGGAGATTGCTTTTTTTGCTACTCCAGGTCTTTTCAGTATCATGACTCTAATCAGTTGCTTTTGAAAGCTAATTATGGTTATTCCACTGATAGCATGTGTGTGCGAGT